GAAGAAGATTTCAAAATTTGTAGAGCTATGGTTGGATTTATCAATAAATTCAAGGTAAAACCTGATATAATATCGACGTCAACAAAACCTATGACACATCGCTTTTTTTTTCAGAAATATGTGATGTGTACAAACACATTAGGGATTGGGTGTCAACTCCCCAATTTTGCTTAAATGGGAAGGATATGATTGAAAAATACAAAAAGTGTTGGGGCAACCTTGAAAAATTAAACGATTTTTTGTACTTTGCGATCGTATTAGATCTACGGTTGAAGTTTGAGTTTCTTCAACAAGCCTTTAAGAAGTTGATTAAGTTGAAGAATACCGGAGAACCTCCCATATTTAACTCGAAAGTCACTTTGAAGGCTAAGGCCTTAATAACGGATACTGAAAAAAAAATTGGATTTTTTTTTAATTTCTACAAAGCAAAGTTCGACAATATCGAGTCTTCTCAAAATCAAACACATGCTTATGAATATGTAGTTATGCTTGATGACAAGAATGACTTCATGGGTGATTTAATAGTACAAGCGGATTATCCATCGACATCAACAGGAAACGGAGTTGACACGATACCTAAATGAGCGATCACTAATAAAGATTTTGATATTCTACTTTGGTGGAAACAAAATGCATCTCTTTACCCTATTCTAGCCCGTATGGTGAAAGGTATAACTTTATTTATTTGTCTACTTTTTTATAATTAGGTTTTAACACTTTGGTTGTTTATGTTGATAGATATTTTGGGACTACAAATTTCTACTGTGGCGTCCAAGGCGGCTTTTAGTACATGCGGGCGGATATTAGATCCATACCGAACAAATTTGTCCGTTATTATATTAGAGGTTTTAGTTTGCACCTAAGATTGGGTAAGGAAATCAAGAAAGCCAATTGTGGACAACCAATCAATATTCCCGAACAGTTAATTTGTATTTGGTCACTGTTATTTTGGAAAAAACTTAAGATTTATATTTTAATTTCAGATGTTTAATGTTCAATGTTTAAATATGAATTATGAATTTTTGGAATATGAATTATTGATTTTTGAAATATGAATTATCAAAGTTTAATATTTATTTCTTAAACTAGATATAGAATTTCCCTATTTGGGTTATTCGGGTCATTTCGGTTTATTTGGGTTATTCGGGTTATATCGGTTTATTTGGGTTATTCGGTTCAAAATTATAGTGTAAATGTTTATTTGGGTTATTTTGGTCCTTTCGGGTTAATAACCGAACCGAAACCCGTATTACCCGAACCGAACCGGTCTCATATTAGTATAATCGGTATGAGTTTCGATTCTCACTATTCATCCAATTCATGTTTTGGGTTATTCGGGTTCGGGCCGGTTCCGGCCCAAAGCACATCCCTAGCCCAAAGTGAATCCTTCTTAAGAAAGTCGGTTGACCTGTGAGATGTTTTATAGTCTGATTGTTTTCTAAAAGACTGGGCACCATGAGAATCCAAAGAAGGTAAAGAACAACTATTCACTTACATATTTAGATTAGATATTTTTTTTGTTATCGATGCCCTCAACATAATAAATTAGATCGAATTTCCCTTTCACCATATGGTCCACTGGATGAAAGCCCACACCAAGAAAAGAAGAGCCCATATCATTTTCTATCGATGGGCCTAAGTTAAAGTTTGAAGTTGGGATGAGGTAGTTGATCGAGCCGTTTTTAATATAAAATGCTTTAATTTGTTTATTTTGATGTTTGATAGCACAAGAATAAACCTACTTTAATTTAGTTGTTAAATATACACACAGATAATAAGAAATTGAAGATATTGTTGAAAGTTTTATATTCATGCAGCAAATGGTAGCTGACGAGCATATGAGACAAAAGTAGATTGATCACACTACATTGTTTTAGTGATATCTCGTACTCTAGTGTTATCTTTGCACTGGATTAATGAAAGTATGTAATATTATTAGAAATTTTTGTATTATTCATTATGTGTATATTATCTGTGATCCAATATTACGTCGCCACCTCAGCGCTTCCGCCTCCGGCCAAGGATGTGACATTAATCATATGAATGTTTCCCATTACCTTGTTCCCCATACTATTTGATAGAATTATGTGTAAGATAATTTCATAGTGGTCGTCCCCACCGTACCAAAATACCCTAAAATGGTGCGTAGGATGGAGGGTGCCGATATATTTGGTTTGATATCATATTTAAATCATTAAATCATTAATAGTATGACTACGTTTATGTGGTCTGAATGAACGCAAAACTAGTAACATTTAATGCAATTCATTTTTAAGAATCAAAACTGAAACAGCAAGCGATCATTTCTCCTAAATACTAAATTAAACCTTTTTGCAATTATTGTTTATCAAATCAATTTACTTTCATAAGAACTAGTGTTAACCATAAGCTCCTCTAGATTTGACCCTTACTACTGGCGAGATTAGTGGAATTAAGGTTATTTTTCATTGTACCAACAACTGTGATTACTGGTATTCGGGATTGGGAGCTCCACCATTAGGAATAGAAGCATCTTGATTAAACATGTGACAAGTTTGATCTCTAAATATAGCATTGGAATATGGATCAGATTGAATCAGCGTACGAGGAGCTATCGACCTTGTCGTCGAAGATGTGGCTGAATTTCCTAACTGTCAGTGTGCCGATTTTGTCAGCTTTCATGTTTACGTCTCTTTCGCTTTCAGTCTGATTGAAATGGTTCTCCAACAAAATTTCCACATTTTCAATCTCGATATAAACATCATCCATGAATTGCTCTTATAGTGGATTCCAATCATTCTCATATCCTTCCTGCCTCGTTCTAATCCACTAGTTCCTTTTGTAAATTTTGGTACCCAAACTATTGTAGGAAAATATAGGGTTTGTGGTGGAGATCTAGATACCAACTTGGACCGTGAGTACACTTTCCGAACTGATATTTCTATCCTATGCCCGGGTTGCAAGAAATTCAGCCTAGGATAATCCAAGTGGACACTTACGATTCTAGGCACAAAAATCGTAAGCCAATTTGCTAGAGAGATTATGTGAGAGTTTGATGAAAACGAGAGCTCAAATTCGTAACCCTCTTCTGAAGAGGAAGAACCGTTTATATATTAAACGAGATTAGGGTTTCATAAGGGTTGAGCCATCATTAGTTGCTTTGGAAGCAAGTCAGGATAATCCGGATTAGGGTTACCAAAACTAACGAGTTTCGTTAGTTTTACCATAATCACCCTCAAGAAATTGAATTTTCTACTATGTGTCCCATATGTAAGAAATTGAAGTTTCGTTAGGGTTGGGTCGGTTCGACGACTAGTCAGGATAATCCTGGCGGGACCCCAGCCAGGGGCTCTGCCCCTTGGACCTCGCTAGGGGAGCTGCCCCTAGACCCCGCCAAAGGGGCGCTGCCCCTTTGGAAACCCCGGACCCAGGGGTGCTGCCCCCGGACCCAGGGGTGACTAGTCGTCGAACCGGCTTCTAATTCGATCTTATACATGCGTGCACTCCGCACAACCCCGTACATATATTAGAGTACCAATTATGAAGCCCCTTAGCTCACATGTCAGTTTCAGTTACTTAAAATGACATGGTGACACTAAAATCACCAACAACTATTTTATACCTTTGATTTATCCAATGGAGTTGAAGTTCCTCATCAATCCTTTTGACAGAGTTCATTAGGACACAACATTTGTCCGCCGATAAATCAACTGTTTTTCATGATGATTCCAAAGGCATGTGAACCTAACCAAACCTTCCACCCAATTTATCAAATGTTGGACCATCCTACAAGTGTAAAGGAACCCCTTTCTATCTTTAGCCATGCAACTCTTTTTTTGGTTCAATTCTTGTCCAACCAATATTTCAAGGGACGAGAACCGATTCTTCCAATTTGATTCACCATCTTCCAAATCATATTTTGCATCTTTTAGACTATTGCATGTTATGACACATGACAAATCGCCGATGTACAATACAAGGTTTCAAAGGGGGAGGATACATAAGGGTTGGGTGGTGTTTGGTTTTTTTATTTTAATGATTAATAGAATTAAAAAAATTGTTTAAAAATATAAAATATAAATTAATGGGGTATTATTGTTTTTGTTTTTTAATATTAAGGGAGACGAAATCCACAATCTAACTAGTTGAAAAGGACAATATCTATAATTTTAAAAATGTTTACACCACACCTAAAGAAAATGTCAAACCAATTTTTACAAATTTGTGTTGAAAATATAATCGTTTTTCAAAAAATAATTCCATATTTAAAAGAGATAAATGTTATGTTGAATCTCTAGTTAGTCAACCTATATTCTTTACTATATTAAAAGACAGCAAATTAAATTTTGGGATAAAAATATGTGAATCGGTGATAACAGACTACACCTTACTATAAAATCTTCAAATTTGAAAGAAAAAAAAAAAGAAGAAGCCTAATTATGATAACAAGTTTATGTTAATCTGATTGAAAAAATTACCATTTATTTTTGCCATTTACCATTTATAGTTTGGCTATTCCATATTATTCTCTAATATTTAATGTTTGTTTTGTTATTATCTCAATAATGTGTCATCAATGCAAGCAGCCAAGAATTCTAGTTTCAAATTTCTGCATACATAATGCCAAATACTAGAATCCTTTTTATCCTGTGAGCTTATTATATATTATATTGAAATATCAGAAAGGGAATAACTCTGCAATTAAATTACAAATATATATTCTTAAAAAAGTAGCAGTATTTAGTTATTTACTGTTTAGTATTCAGTATTCATTCACCAAAAATAAGATAAAAATAAATAATAATATAATAAACTACAATAACTATACATCATCCCAATACACCACCATCTACCACCATCAACCACCCCCACCCACCACAAAAAATCTCCATAAAATCCGGCGCAATTATCAAAAATACCCATCACACGTCACCTTTTTTAAACTTTTTATCACCCTTTTACTTTATCCTCTTTTGTCCTTTCATTTCACAATAGGTGAAAGTTTGAAAGCAGATCTAAGGTCAAGTATCGGAAATCAACGGTGCGTGCTTGAAGAGGTCGTAAGGGGCCCACAGTTGATCCAGTGGACATGGTCGCATCGAATTCAATCTCAACCACGGCTTTCCCTTTCCGCTCCAGTGAAGCAAGCTCACCGGACCCGGATGCAGATTCCGGCACAACCCTTCAACGTTATCCCCGCCGAGCCCATGTTGGTTCCACCGATGCTCCACCCCCTCAACATCTCCGGCGAACACTAACAAGAATGGTGGCAACGAACCCAGTTCGTAAATCCGATGTTTTTTCTGTATCTCCATCCATTTTTCGAGCTTTTCTGTTATCTTATACCTTCTCCATTTCATCAAATCGATCACCATTACGCCGGTGTTGAAGTAGCACGGCTCCGCAGCGCGGTGGTTGAATACGCCGGAGAAGTAAGGGGTTGACCAGAATTTGGGTGTAAAGTAGTGGGTGAAGTTCGCGTGGCAATACTCGGGTGCTCCGAGGACATGGGAATTAAGGTTGATTTCCCAGAGCTTGACGACGTCGTCGACGACGATGAGATCGGAATCAAAGTATATGACGCGGTGGACGGTGGTGGGGAGGAGGTGAGAGAGGTAGATGCGGGCGTAGTTGAGTGGTTGGTCGAGTGCACGGCGGATGGAGGTGGAGATTTTGTTTCTGACTAGATCTGTGTGGAAGTGATGGAGGTGGAAGTTGAGGTAAGGGAAAGTTGTGGTGATTGTGCGGCGAAGGGAGGAGGAGAGACGATGGGTGGTGAGAAAATGGAAGATGATGTTTTCCGGGCAGGTGGCGTGTTGAACGACGGAGAATACACCGGCGATCGAGCCACGGAGGTAGGTGGCGTCTAGGGTCATTGCTATGTGGATTCTTGTGTCATTGCATTCTTTTCCATTTCGAAATGCTTGGGCTTCTTGGAATTCCGGTAGTTCAGCGGCGAAGATGAGGTGGAGGAGGAGGATTAGAGTGGTGGTTAGGAGGTGGAATGTCGGTGGCATGGTGGTTGTTGTAGAGGTGAGTGTTAAAGATCATGGAGGTTATGAGAGTATCCGTGTGGGTGGGTTAAACAAAAAAACAATCAAGTAAAGGGTATAGATGTTCGTTTGATGAAACAAGTGGGGCCCGGTATTGAAGTTATTTAATAGAGTGGCTGTAGACAGAAATAGATTTCAAAATGTGATTAATTAATATTAGAGTAAAATACAGTTTTTGTCCATGTGGTTTAGACAAAATCTCAATTTTGATTCTAGTATTGAAAGTTTATCATGGGTGGTCTCTGTGGAGGGTTTCGGTATCATCGGTGGTCCCTGGGACCGTTACCCTCCATTAAGCTCCGTTACTAGCATTGTGAAAAGATTAAGGTGTTGTTTGTTCTTTCGAAATGAAAATTTTAGAAGTCTGCAATCCCCTACAACAAAAAATGTGGACCAAACGGTTGCAACGTGTAATAAAAAGTTTGTTTGTTTTTTAACATCTGTCGATTGCTGCAATAAATTGAAATTTAAATAAACTAATTTTACAAACTTAAAATAGTTTTTCAACATCGATTACCAAAATAAATATTAATATTCATAACTCATTCCTTTTTTTCTTATAAATGTAATTCAAATTTTATACTTCAGAATCAAAACATCAACATTCGATTACCAAATAAATATGAATATTCAACTAGCCTAACTAAAAATTCATATTCAATTTACCAAATCACAAAAATCAAAAGTATGAAAGTGTAATTAGGTGGGTAGGTTATTTCTTTTGGCGATCTTTAAGATTTCATTATATATATGGCAGTGTTGTAGAAATCGGCTTTGGCGGCCGATTAATCGGCGATTAGTCGTTTGGCGGCCTCGAACCGATTACGATTAGGGTGCTTGGCAGAAATTGGTCAAAATCGGTCAAACTCGGGCTTGGCGGTCCTTGGCGGTCCTTGGCGGTCATAGGCGGGAAATATTTAAAAAATTCAGAAAAAAATAATTTTCAAATATTACACCAAAATTTTAAAATTTTAAATTTTTAAGCTTTCAAATTTTAAAATATTATACTAAAATTTTTAAATTTTTAAAATTTTAAATTTTAAAATTTCCAAATACTTAAATTTTTAAATAATTTTATTAATAATTTAGGGTCCCCGATTAATCGCCGATTAATCCCCGCCGAGTTTGATTAATCGCTTATCGTCAGTCGACCGCCGAGCTACTGCCGAGCGATTTTTACAACCTTGATATCTGGGTAATTTTTTGTGTTTGGCCTCAATTTCTTCATGTTTCAACTTTCAACTTAAAGTCTTCTTTCATCTCCTCGCGAACAATAAGCTACAAAGCAACAATAACCAAGTTTACATCTAATTTAATATCAAGCCATATCATTCATTAGTAGCAACATACTTTCAACTAACAATGACCAAGTTTACACCTAATTGAACATCAAACAATATCATTATATTAATAGCAACATACTTTCAACTTGAATAAAAAAAACTAGCAATAACAAATAGCATCGTACTTTCAACTTGGAAAAAGGTATAACAATTAATAGTAACATACTTTCAACTTAAAAACAACAATAACCAAGTTTAAACCTAATTAAACACCAAACCACATAATTCAACTAACAACAACAATCTTTCAACTTGAATTCCAACAACTAGGGGTGTTTATAGTTTTCACCAAGATATAACAAAGTGATAAAAAAGACATTTACAGAATTAATGCATAATAAATTGAAGTGATTTGAGCAAGTTGTTTATATAAATAAATAGACTTTTAGATGAGGATAAATTCATAAAAACGAAAACAATGAAAAAAATATTAGAAATCTAGAGTAGCAGTGAAGATAACAAATATGGGTAAACTTGCAAATGTTGCTGATTTCAGCAAAGATTAATCAGAAAATCAGCATAACAACAACATTGAAAAGAAAAAAATAAGGGAAAACGTACATGCATACCTTTCAAAAATCCGCAACAACGATTAAACAACAACATTTGTTCCAATTTCTGCTACGTACCTGCAATGTTCCTTATTTTTTTTACCATCTGAAAAATTGATTTTCAGGAGGATTACTTGATTTTAGCATCAACGTATTACAGAAAATCGATTTCAGCATACCTTTCGACGATTTTAAAAGCTACAATGGTGTGTGCGCCAACGAGAAAGGAGGTGTGTCGACGAAGGGCTGAGGTTGACGATTTTGAGAAGGAAGAACGATGGAGTGTGAGAAGAGGTTGGAGTTGTGTGTGTGATTTCTTTTTGGTGTCTGTTCCTTTTTTTATTAGGGCTGAGAAGAGTTTTGAAGTGGTTGGTCCAATGTTGCACCAAGAAGCACACACGCATAGAGCTTTTTTACTTAGAAGCCTTTTTAAAAAACAAACAATTGTAAAAGCCCAACTGTTGCGCTTGGTCTGTGTAGTGTAGTGAAAAGGTTTGAAGAGCTTTTTTTTAAATACAGCATCTAAAATGTCTTAACGTTGTATAAACAAAACCCTAAGGTGGAAGAAGGTTGCACTCGTTTTCTTCTTCCCAACCTCGTACATTCACGTCTCTCGACACCACCACCGGATCAATCATCGCCTATGTTACCACCATTGGAACTGATCTCCACCTTCGTTACCATCCACCTATTCGTTAAGCTCCGCTAAAGGCATATCGAAATCACCACCAACATGTCAACTAGAGGTGACAAATCGGGCCATTGTATCGTGTTTTTGTCTCACATGACACAACAATGTTTTATGTAACACGAACACGACATGACACGATGTCGTGTTTTTTTAACTAACACGAAAATGAACCAATTAAAAAACCAAAAACATGACACGACACGATAAAGATAACATAAAATAACAATTAGTTTATTTAATTAATATTTTAATCATACATAACACGACAAATACGATAAACACGCCAAATAAATGTTAAAGTGTGTCAATTTCGTGTCTAATATTGAACACGAACACGACAGGACACAACATCGTGTTTTTTACACCTGACATAAAAGATTATAAAACATATAAACACAATCTAGTGAGAGAGAATTATAACTCACATTGTTAGTTAGTGAAAACTAACTACCCTTGGCTTCCAATCTTCAATTGATGCAACTTGATCCATCTTCTTTGCTCAAGGCCTATTCATATAACATGTCAAGCTCTTTAGAACTTGTTTTAGCCTTTTAAGAGCTTAACCACTCCTTATATCAAAATGATCGCTTAATTGATCATATTTCTAACATCTCATCTTCTACCTCTACATCTATTTCACCCCAATGAATTAAACATCTCATACTACCTAATTCATCCCACTGTAACTTTATTACATCATTTCATCTTCCTTACTAGTTAGGTTTTGAAACCCCAACTTATACATGTATGGATTTCACCATGGAAATCACATACAAAGCTTGTTCAATCTTTAATTGATGCAACTTGATCCATCTTCTTTGCTCAGGCCCTATTCATATAACATGTCAAGCTCTTTATAACTTGTCTTAGCCTATTAAGAGCTTAACCACTCTTTATATCAAAATGATCGCTTAATTGATCATATTTCTAACATCTCATCTTCTATCTCTAAATATATTTCACCCCCAATGAATTAAGCATCTCATGCTACCTAATTCATCACACTGTAGATTTATTGCATCAATTCATCTTCCTCACTAGTTAGGGTTTGAAACCCTAACTTATACATGTATGGATTTCACCAAGGAAATCACACACAAACCTTGTTTAATCTTCAATTGATTCAACTTGATCCATCTTCTTCACTCAAGGCCTATTCATATAACATGTCAAGCTCTTTAGAAATTGTCTTAGCCTATTAAGAGCTTCACACTCTTTATATCAAAATGATCTTTTAATTGATCATATTGCTAACATCTCATCTTCTACCTCTAAATCTATTTCACCCCAATGAATTAAGCATCTCATACTACCTAGTTTATCACATTATAAATTTATTGCATCAATTCATCTTCCTCAGTACTTAGGGTTTGAAAACCCAACTTATACTTGTATGGATTTCACCATGGAAATCACACAAAGCTTGTTTAAAGCTTCTAAACACGCTCAATAACATGCTAATTTAGTTATAAATCGTTTAACTCAAGCAATCTAATCGTAACATTTTGATATTAAGGTACTTATAAATTCATCCCTATAGTTTTATTTATGACATTTTGGTCCCTAAGTCTCAAGAGAAAGTGCCTTGAAGCCCTAGTGGCAATTTCATGATTCTGGCAGGAGAATTACACCAAACGTACATGTGTGTACGCTAGGCGTACACTTATGTACATGGGGTGTACTAGCTAAAGAAGGAAACCCTAAATTTTAGGGTTTGGGTGGTATTTAAGCAACATTAAGCCTCATTTCTCTTCTCATTTCTAGCCTCCATCAGTATATTCGTGTTCTCTTGCAAACCCTAGCCACTTTTGAGTTCTTGGAAGGTTTAGTGTGAGTTTTTGTGTATTCCAAAGGAAGAAGAAGGTGGTGGTGAAGATTGGAAGCTTGAAGCAAGCTTGGATCTGGGAGTTTTGCATCCTTCTCCATCTTTAGAGGTATAAAGTTCATATCTTGATGATTATTTGCTAGATCTCATTCTTGGGTGTTTTTATGTTACTTTTTGGTCCCAAAAGTCTCATCTTGTGCATGTTTTGTTCTTGTTGATTTGGGCTGTCCTTTTAGACCCTAAGAGGGGTCCTAAGCCATAAAAATGAGGTCCCATTTGTTAGTTTTGGTTCATGCATCTTGTAGAAGGTCTTAATGGATTAAGACCTTGTGTTAAGCATTTTTTTAGACTTGTAAAGTCATAAAGTTGGAAACTTTATGACTCTAGAGTGCATTTGGACCTTAGATATGAAATATGGACTAAAGTGCTTAAGGCATTAAGCACTTATTGGAGTTTAGAGGCTGCGAGGGTACGCCCACATACGTGGGAGTACGCCCCGCATACTCGGTCAACCACCCTGATGAGCATTCAACTACAAGGCTTCGCGTACGACA